CAGGGAAGGACAGCGATGCAGGATGGAGATGCAGGTTAGGTGACTCAAGGGTCGTAGGGTATGTCGGGGATGTGGTCGTCGTACCACTTGGGGCTGTACCACCGCCTCATGCCGCCTGCATGGCAGCCAGAGAATGTGCGGAAGGACAGAAGCGAGGGAAAAACGAAGATACAGAAGGGTCGAGTGAAGGTTGTTGGTATACACCGAACGAAACCTAGGTTATGTGTTTATGACCATGGGGATGCAGAGAAAAACGTGGGCCCGTTCAGAAAAAAAGTGATAACAGACCGGGCGACCTCACTCTCCTTTCTAACTACCCTTGCTCGCCCTTCCTGCCAAAGCACAAAAGTCAATTTCAATGCGCCTCAAGACCAGACTTCATTGCTTCTCTTTGCTCACCCTGCTTGCTGGAGTAGATGCTGCCAGGGGGGAAGATCTCAAACCGCTCGCACTCGTCCTTGAGGGCCTTCATCTCCGAGGCAAACCACACAGAACCTGGAAGCAGGGAGACAAATGACAAGGGAGATAAAAGACACGGGGAAAGAGGAGTTTCAGATTCACTCAAAGGTCACACTGCTCGCGCTCACACTCGCACTCGTCCTTGAGGGCCTTCATCTCCGACGCGAACCACACGGAGCCTGCTGGCACAAAGACAAGCAACCACACGGAGGAAAGATAAAACCTTCTAATTCACTTCACGGCCACACTTCTCGCACTCATCCTCGAGGCTTTCATCTCCGGAGGCAAACCAGCAGCAGCAGCAGCACTCGCCATCACGACCCCAGCCGTTGTACATCGAGCAGACACCAATGGGGTCGTGGGCAACCAATCATTAGCACTGGCCATCACCACTACCCACCAACACTGGCATATACCACAAGCAGCAGGCACTCACCATCACGGCCCCAACCGATGTACACGGAGCAGCAGACCCAATGGGATTCCTGACAGCCATCACCAGCATTAGTCATCGTCAGCAGCAGCACTGGCCACCAACACCAGCATTTACCATCACTAGCAGCACTCACCGTCGCGCCCCCAGCCGATGTACATGGAGCAGACGCCGATGGGGTCGCGCGCAGCAATGAAGGAGTTGTCTCGCGTGTCCAGCAGCACGAACGCGAAGATGCCGTCCAGCTCCTGCACCAGCTCCTCGCCGTGCTCCTCGTACTGGCGGGTGGGGGAGAAGGAGTGGTAGCGGAGGAAGGAATACAGTGGAGACAGGGGATATGAGAGAAGGTACAACCATGGCACAATCACGCCACCAGACCCTGCACCAGCTCTTAGCCGTGCTGCTCGTGCTGCAGGTTAGGGGGGAAGAGAAGAGAGAAGAGGCAAGCGGTTGTTGGGAATAGAAAATATCACCAGCAGTGGCACCAGCTCATTGTCCAGCTCCTCGTACTGCCGATGGGAGAAGAGGCAGGAAGTTCACAGGAAAAGCAATCACAACACCAGCTCCTGTACCCGCTCCTGCACCCACTCCTTCTCCTTGAGGCTTTCTTGAAAGGCATAAAATGTGATTCTTTGAAGTGTTGAAATGAAGAAACACAAGAATCGTGAAATCCAGTAACCACGGAATGCAGCGCTCACCAGGTGAGCAATAACTTCGCAGTCGCTCTCCGTGCTGAAAGAGTGCTTCTGCTTGAGGCTCTTCTTCAGCGCCTCGTGGTTGTAGATCTCGCCGTTCACCTGCCCAGAGTAACATAAACAAGAAATGTAACATCAACACGAAAATGTCACGGGAACAGAACTTACAAGTCAGGGATGTTATTCTTGATTATTGCAAAACAAATAATGAGATTAGGACGAATGAAAGAATGTCGCTTTTTGATGAGTAAGCCACACGCACCGTGACGATAATCTCCTTGGTCTCATTGTAGAGCGGCTGGTGGCCAGAAGCGGGGTCGACAATAGCGAGACGCTCGTGCGCTAGGAAGTTGTTGTTGTGCACGTGAACGCCGCTCCAGTCCGGTCCTCGGTGCCTCAGCCTAGATAATCAACAAATCGAAAAATAAACGATAAGGATGGTTCTCGAAAAGGAGCCTCATGATCTGAGAAAGAAAAAAAGGTGTCGACGATAGTGGTATGAGAGACTCGAATGCACGATGAAAATGCATACTGTCACTACAGTAACCGAATGTTTTTGCGTATGTGCACTCAGAATGGCATGCTAGGCCCTCTTGGGATTAACCCTGAAAGTTAATACCAATGAGAAGCGGCCAGACGGCAGCATATTGCTTAGCATGAATCCTTAATCATCCGAGAAGATTCAACAGCGAAATGTCTCTTAACGCGAAGCATTCAGAACTTCTATAGATTTCAACAGCGACCTACACGTGGTCTAAGCTCACCTAGCGGAGCACTCGAGCACTCGCGCGCGCATGCCAGGCGAGTCATCAGACGAGCTCAAGCAGGCGAGAATGCCACACATTTTGGCTGGTCAACCGGGTTACCAGCTCGGATGGAAGAAAAGACCAAAGCAAGAAATGCGGGAGTAGCTGCTAGACGGAGATCCCGTCTTCCTGCAATGGATAAATGCACGAAATTAAAGCTCTTGACGGAGTTGCTACTCCTGACAGGTGATTGCAGGAGCAATCCTTCCCCGCACAGGAAAGAAGATTAGGGCAACCAGGAGCAAGGAAAGTGAGCTGGTTGACCTCTGGACCAGTAATTAGAAAGGTTTCGAGAGAATACATGTACTGTTCTATTCTACGGTATGTTTTGGTAAACAGCGGTGAAACACGGTGAAATGGTAAACCAAATCTGCTGTGCTACTCACCGTATCCAACCGAAGTGAGCAGGTTAGACTGGTGCAATCTCGAGGAACGAATAGTGGACGCTACCGTCAGGTGAGGTGTAAATTGGGGAAGTTTTCGAAAGACCGTGATTGGTTGCTAAATCAGAGCGGCTCCCCTCTCCGTCAACACCAGGCCACGAAGAGACTCATAACTACAGCTCCTAAAGGGATTGGCGGCGCTGCCCTATCAGGACTCGACTGAATACCCCGTGGTTACGATAAAACGAGTCATATAAATACACGTCAGCAAAAGCCCATCCAGATGGTCCCGAGTTGCTGTTGACGAGGTTTCAGGGTCCACATCAGCAATCGACCGAATTTCAATGTTCTGTACAAACTGCTTCGGTATTACAGCAAGTAGATTCGTCAAGAGGTTGTCTAGCTGGTTAGCAAGCGAAAGAAATAACAAAGAAATCCAACAATTGCCTGACCTGACAGGTAAACCTGACCGCATTCCAGAGCCACTGACCAGACATCCGCGCCGCATCTCTGGTTCAGCTGGGCCAGGCGATCCGCGCTGACGGCTAAGCAGCGCAATGTCGAATACAACCGGCTTTTCCTGGAATTGGAGGAACTGAGCTCTTGGCCCTATTCAAAGCCTCCCACCACTTTCGCGTTGTGGAAGATTCAGTTCCTTTCCCCTTCCAGAAAAACACTGAAAAACTACGGCACAGAATCTTGCACCAGCAGCAGGATCGGCTAAAAAAAACTGGAAAGCCGGAGACATTACCTTCCAAACACAAAAGCCCTTACGTTTCCGCCCTTGCTTCTGCCCTGGATCTTTTGCCAAGCATCACCTGCTCCAGCACAAATTCTAAGTCATTCCTTCTGACGGGAATTCCTGCCCTTCGCTTCTGCCGCGGACAGTGGGGCCGCCATGCAACTCCAGTGATCCAGCCATCACTGCAGGCCTTCGCTCGACTCGATTGTTCACGCACCACCAAATTCGACTTACGCCTCAGGAATCCAGCTGCATCAGTCTAAATGACAATGTCAACGAGGAATATGCTCGGGACGAAAGTCGAGCATTTGTGCCTTGAATCTAGCGACCGCATTGGGTCACCAGCAATAGCAAGCGAGTTTCCGGAAAATCGACATTCCTCATCCTACCTAACAATTCCAGATACGAGAGCGTTCACCCCAGAAATCCAGCCTTTGTACCTCCACATGCGGGCAGTGTCGCCTCGTACCGCCACGCGGGCAGTGTTTCCGCGTAAGTGAACTCGCTAACTTCGTTTCGTTCCACGTGGTCACTTCCTCCCAGCGGACCTCTTCGCGTCTCAGGCGTGGGACCCCACAATCCTCAAGTCGCAGCAAGCTCGCCGTCGCACAAACACGCCCGTGCGATATGCGACTCTCCGGCCCACTCACAGGCGTGAGTATGTCGCATCAACTCCTCGTTGATGCGATGAAGCCGAGAAGACCGTTTGGCACGCCAGGAATCATGGCCTGCTTTCTGCTCATCGTAGTGGTGCTAGTTTCGTTTCATCCTGTTACCACTCTCGCGAAAGGGCATTTAGTCGGCGAACAATTGCTGTTACCACATGAAGAATCGCGCGTCGTTTCGCAGAACATGGAGATCCTCCTCGCGACCGGAACGAACCAAGAATTTCTGCAGGCGGCGGCGGAAACCGTTGGCGGAAAAGACGTCGGAACAGGCGGAAATTCCCCGCGGAAGGGCGGCAAGAGAAAGAAGGGCAAGACAAAGAGGGGAGGGGCAGGCAAGAGTAACGGCAAGGGCGCAGGGAGCAAGAGCGGAAGCGGAATAGCCGGCGGAACCGAAGCCTTTCTCGGCACTCTCAAGGGCAGTGGAAAGGGGAAGGGGAAGGGCGGGGGGAACGGAGGGCGGAGCGGGAAGAAGGGGAAGAAGAGCGCTTGGGGGATTGCGCTGCGCAGCCTTCCGATTTGGAACGCCGCCAAGTTCCAGCTGAAAGCGCGCCGAGCCGCCGCGGGGTTGAAGAAGGCGATGGTGCAGGCGGGCACGGCGCGCGGGCAGGCATTGAGCCTCGTGCGCCAGTGGTTAGCGGAAGGAGCGCGCGCGGGCGCGGGTGCGGACACGCGGGATATGTGGACGCAAGTTGCGCGCGACTGCGTGCACCAGGTGAGACGGGAATGGAAAACTTTGTGAGACGCGATATCGTGCGATGAATTCTTGTTGTGACGTTGCAATTACAAAAACTTTTGAAGCATGATCTTGCGAATTATGAAAGATTATTTGAGCGATTGTGAAAGGAAGAGGCGCGACCACGCAGACCATGCGGAAACGATGGCCAAGCACTTCAAGCCCCGCGCATCCCCATCCCCTCTCCCCGTTTTTCCCATCCTTATCCCCGCTCCCCTCACTTCCCCACCCCAACTTACCCTTCCCCCCCCCGTCTTCCCCACCCCCCCGTCTTCCCCCATCCTCCAGATGTCGCTCTCGCAGCTAAGCTTGGATCGCGCGGCGGAGATTCTGAAAACGGGCGACGCGGACGCGTCGGACGCGGTCTTTAAGCTCTCGGGCGCCGCGACGATGGCGGACAATTGTCAGGGCGCGTTCGATTTCGTGCGGCGGACAGAGGACGCAGCGGGCGGGGATGGCGGAGGCAGCGGGCGCTACGGCATGACGGCGCAAGTGCGGGTGAGTAGGGGGTGGCGCGCCTAGGGTTGTCACGCGGGCATGAGCTGAGCTGACACGCTGGCAGGGTGGACAGGCGAATCAACCTGGAACGAACGGTAGTGGACAGCCGGACAGGGGGCGATGCCTCTCGAGAAAATAAAGTGTTTTTGAGACGTCTCAAGAACGAACAGTAGTGGACAACCCGGCAGGGCGATGCCTCTCAACTCTTACTCTCCTATTTCCTCACATCCCTTGCCCCATCGGTCTCTGTTTGCCACTCATTGGTCGCGTCAGGAAACGGCAGCGCTCCTGATGAGGCGCCTCAACAGTCGTCGCTCATTTCCGTTGTCCTCACTGCCATTCCGTCGCTCTTTCCCCATCTGTCTCCATTCCCCACCCCCTGGTTCCATCAGGAAACGGCGGCGGGGCTTCGTGATTCCATCGTGGCTCTCCAGCAGCAAACTATCGACGTGCAGCAACGGGCGATATCCATGTGTCACCTTCTAATCCCTTCTTCCCCACTGCCCTACCCTGTTGGTGTCCCTTCTTTCCCACCCACTGTAATTCCATCAGGAATCGGCAGCGGGGCTTCGGGATTCCATCGTGGCTCTCCAACAGCAGACTATCGACCTGCAGCAAATCGCTGCTGCTGCTGCCGCTGCTACTGATGATACAGACGGTGCTGATGGTGCTGATGCTGGTGGTGCTGGTGATGCTGCCTCTTTTGCTCCGCCTCCTCCTGCAACTGCTGCCCCTGGTGACGCTGGTAATGCTGATGCTGGTAAAAGCAGCGATGCTCCTTTGCATTCTTCAAATGACGTGGCACCACCACCGCCTTCCTCGACCCAGGAGGACGTGGCGGTCCCGGCCTCTCTTAGCGGCAGCGACCAGAGAACCAGTGAAGGGGGGCCACGTGGCAGCACTGTAGAATCGCCGCCTGTCAACGGTCAGGATGGCGCCGTGGCATCCGACAGTCGATTGTTGGCTGAATCAGGGCCGTCCGTGATGGGAGGCGTTGAGGGAGAGGTGAGAAGGAGAAGGAGGAGGGTGCAGGAGGGGGGTGTTGGGGAGAGAGGGGGAGAAGAGGGGGGTGTTGGAGAGAGAGGGGGAGAAGAGGGGGGTGTGGACGATGGAGGGGATGTGGAGAAGGAGGAGGGAGGAGAAGAAGATGTGGGAGGAGTTGAGGGGGAACAAATGGCAGGAGGTGAGGGAGGGGAAGGGGAAAACGAGATGGAGGGTGAGGAAAGGGGAGAGGTTACGGGAGAGACAGGGGTAGAGCAAGGAGAAGTAGAAGGAGAGATTGTGGGAGATGAAGAGTACACGAGTCCCCAAGACCCATATTCAGATATTGATCCTTATTTGGGCCCCTCTGGATCTTCTGACGTGTCTGAGGGTGTGGAAGAACCAATTTCTGACGTGGATGACCCCACAGCTGACGTGGACAGCCCCACTGCCAGCACAGAGCCAGCAGAAACCGAGGGACAGAAACGCACTCCCTCTTCCCCCTCCTCCTTATCCTCCTCCTCCTCCCTCCTACAAGCCAACGGCACTGCTGACCCTCCAACGGCACCCCCCTCTTCGCCCCCGCCCAACCCTCCTCCTTCCCCCAAAAAGCCCCCAACCCTCCCCCCCGATTGCCCCAAGCCCGTAGTGCGCCCTCCCCCCATCCTTCCGCCATTCTCCATCCCCCGGCTTATGCCAAACCTGGTGGTGGCACAGGACGGATCCGGGGACTTCACTACTATCCAGGTAAGAAAGCATCGTTTAAGGTGGATTCAGTGTTGACGTGAGAAGGGCCTTTAGTTGCTTGCTTCACTACATTACCCCAACCTTTTGCCCCAGTACTATTCCCCAGTCATTTGTTACTTGTTCCACTAGTACTACATCGCCTGTATGATGTTGTTTTCTGTTGTCATTATGTTTTTCCGACACGCAATGTACAGGACGCGCTCCTCGCAGCTCCCAAGAAGCCCAAGGGCCGATTCGTGATTCTCGTGATGCCAGGTGTTTACAACGAGCGCTTCGAAGTTGGGAAACCCAACATCACATTGATGGGTCTGTCTCCCGCGCTCACTGTGATCACCGGAAACGCGAGTGTCGGCACCAACTACACTACATTCAACAGCGCCACCGTTGGTAAGAGGAAGATAAAAATTTTATGATCAACAGAAGTTTCCAGCTTTCAGTGTATATGTTGCATAGAGGTAGTAAGATACTAGAAGGCCTTCTACCCTTATCATTTTGCAACTCGCCGCTCACCCTTTCCCCACATACTTGCACCCTCCTCCCCCCTCACTCCCCATGGGCCATACCCCTTTCCCTCCACCTCTCTTTCAGCTATTGACGGTGACTACTTTGCAGCGGTGAACATCCGATTTGAGAACACAGCCGGCAAGATCAACAACCAGGCGGTGGCCCTGAGAGTGTCGGCAGACCAATGCGCGTTTCATAACTGCGAGTTCTGGGGCTTCCAGGTTAGAACGCACAGGATGCATGTACATTCGAGTTCACATAAGATTCATCTGGATGTATTCGTGATTCCAAGATGTAAAACAGGAAGACTTGTATTTCATTCTCATGACCTGAGCTCTTTCTCCTAAGCAATTCCTGCACCTATGCTTTGATCCACTCTCGTCCCCTTCAACTTTTCTCAACTGCACTCGCTGATGTTCTATTCCCCACATTCTCCCAATTATCCTGCTCGCTTACAGGATACACTCTACACTCACAGCGGCCGCCAGTACTACCGCAACTGCTTTATAACAGGCAATGTGGACTTCATCTTCGGAAATGCAGCTGCCCTTTTCGACAACTGCACGATTCAAATCCGCCAGCACACCAGCGGCGCCCCTGTATCAGCCTCCAGCCGCCAAACCCCCACAGACCCCACCGGCCTTGTCATCATGAATTCCCGGGTAGTTGGCGAAACCACCCGTTGCGTTACGGGCTTTCTGGGCCGCCCTTGGAAGAGCTACGCTCGAGCGGCGGTTATTAATTCATATCTCTCACCTCAAATCAGCTCGCTTGGGTGGATGGATTGGAACGGGCAGGTGAACGATACTACGAGTTTTATAGAGTTCAACAATACAGGGCCGGGGGCCAACGGACCGCGCGTGCCATGGCTACGGCCGGGAATTCTTGCGAATGTGACTGCAGTGAGTGACTTTTTACCGGAGAGGTTCCTGTACCCGTTCGGTGTGATTCGAGCGCTGCTTCCATGGCTGTGAGCAGCCTTGGTTAGGGTTTGGTTGGTCAGGGTTCGGTGAGGTAGGGCCATGGTTTAAATTGGAGGGCCAGTATGTGGGCTTGTCTGGCTCCAGGTGGTGAATATGGGTGAGTGGAAGGTGACTGTGTGTTTAGGGTAACTGGGTGGGAGGGTGGCAGGGTGATGGGGTGACACGGCAACTGGGTAACGGGGTTACTGGATCCAGGCAATGGGGTGGGCACTTACGGTATTGAGGGATGTGCTTCGCGCGAGCACATGAAAGCATTGAACTGTTGCAGAGTGCCCGGCACAATTGTTCCTTCCATGGCATGGATGCACGAACTGTATCCAGCGAACTACCGAGCTGTGGCTGTAATTTATACTTGGCTTGTACCATGTAATGTGGTGGATATACCGTAGTTTCTTGTCCACCTTTTTCCCATTCAGTTTTGTGAACGGAACAGAACTACGTAGGTAGGTCCCGTCCCAGTAGTAGAATGTGGTCTCATCCCCCAGTAACTTGCCCCCAAACATGCTTTTTGCTACCTGCCAACATTACCAACATAAAAGCGCACACGATCCAACCTGGCATACTGGTACCGTATCAGTGATAGATCATAGACCCAAGACCAGACGCCAGTCCAGTCCAGTGAAGGTATTACCAAGGACAAGTGTACCGAAGCAAACTAATCTACCGTATGAGCTTGGCCACAGCAGTTCAGAACTACGGTTATGAGTACACAAAAAAAGGGCCAAATGGACCCTCCCAGGGCAGCCTGACACTACAGCTAGGTCACAAAACTGGCAGCAGTGAGTTGTCTCACTTCTTGCCTTTCCCCATGGTCTGCATAAACACTGGCCAATTCGCCTTGAATTCCGTCCATCCTAACAGCGAGCCTTCTCTGGCGGGATCCCAGCTCGTGGAAATAACTCCGTATGAAATCCCTAAACCTGAGCCGCCGAAGGTGAAGAAGGACGTAAGAAGCGGCAGCCAATCCGGAACGTCTACTTTTTGGATGACCTTGAGATAGTAGAAGAGCGGGAAAAAAGACAGGCCGATGAACAACGGCACGCCGACGGTAAATGCGAGCCGCTTCAAGATGCGATTTGTAACCACCTCGGGAACTTCATCGTCAATGTCTTCGCGAACGGTCTTCACAACGGGTTCCTCCTTGACCTGTTCGGCCTGCTTCGGCGGAGCCGCGGGTTTCACAGGCTTCGTCCCGAACCCCTTGGGGGATTGCGCCAACGCTCTTACTGACAGTGCGCGGCGGCAAAGATAGGAGCTTTGAGGAGCAGAGCGACAGCGGGACTGCAGCAATGTCAACTGAGACGATGACGACGTCAAGGAACTCAGTTGAGTCAGTGCCTGGAACCCCATCACGAGCTCGACTAAACGCTGATTTGCCTACTAGCACAATGAGGGAACACGGGACAGGTCCTTCTGACAGGAAGAACTCGCTCGATAACTCAGCGCTCAATTCCTAAGTTGAACTGGGAGTGGATATCTGTGAGTGGATAAGGGTGGGTCACACAGTTCTGTGTATTTCTGTTCACTTTTCGCGGTCGAGAACGCTGGAGTGCACTCCAGTGCGGTTTGTTGAAACTGTGACCCGTCCAAGTCAATCCATGAGGGGGCCAAGGGGACCAAGGAAATGACGAAACAGCCCCTTCTTCACGGGTGACGTGGGACAATCTTGACAGCTAGCCGTCAGCAAATCAGGTCAGGACTCAGATCGGACGGAACATTTCCCGATGTCCCCCCCAGTCAGACAAACCACCCAATGAACGCACGCCCCTTCCCCGACCACCAATCTCAACTTCCCCATACTCCGCGATTTTCCGCCACCCCCTCCTCTGGCTTCCCCCCAACTGCGCGTTCCCATCCGCCATTCTGCACTCCCCCTAAATCCTTCCGAAAGAAAGGTTCTCAATAGAAAGGGTGACACCTGAAAGGGTGATCATTTAGCGCTTCGCGTGTTCAGTCGGATGGACAGACTCAGCGTCCTCGCGCGCCCCGATTCTAGGTCTTGCTGGATTGGGGTTCCACGTGGTCGTCGAATGGCTGGGTCACGCCCCGGCAGGAATAATCGACTCTATGGAGCCGAGTCGAGAAAAGCGGCTCGACGTTGCTCCAGCTATTTAAACCATGCTCCCAAAGATCATTGCAAGACCATTACTTGCAGCGCCAAATAAGCCGTTTACCCTTACCTGCCTTAATAAAATTCTCCGACCTGCATTTTCTAAATTTAGCGGCATGGCCATTCGCGTTGTAAGCACCCTCGTTGCAATTTTTGGCTTCGCAGCAGCTGCCTCCAGTTCCGCCATCTCTAGAAACCTCACCGTTTTCCACCGTGAAGGACCGCGTCGCGCTCTCCAGCAGATCCCCGCGTTCGACCCCGCTGCAGCTGGGCGCAGCAGCAGGAGCCATGGCCGGCGCCGTCCAATCAGCAGCCGCCACGTTAGCCAGCACCATCGCGCAAGCTCCGGGCGGACTTCTGTTCGACGACGCATCGGCAATATGCCTGGATTTCGGCCCTCTGCCCGCCTGCGATTTCTACTTTGATCTGCTGGGCCCGCTCGGTCTCCCCTCGCTGCGCTTCCCCGTCGTATCCGGCGGTGCGCTCGTGCTCTCCCAGCACAACGGCGACCGCCCCGTGAGCCTCGAAATCGCGACTGGCGTTTCGCCTAGTTCTGTCGCAATCGCTGGGGACAAAAAAAAGGGGGGTTACAAGGTTGAGATTGATGCGACAGGGCCGGCGAAATACTGCAAGTGCGAGGCGGCGAAACTGGCGAAATCAGTTGCGCACGCTGGCGATCAGTTCTACGCCACTGGACAGGTGAGTGTTACACTAGATTGAAGGGTTCACCTTCCCAAACATACTACGTTCCCACCCCCCCCCCCTCTCCTTCCCCCCCTGCCCCCTCTCTTCCCCCCCCTCCCCCCCCCCCCCCCCTCTCCCCCCCTCCCCCCCACCCCCGCTCCCCCCTCCCCCCCCCCTTTCCTGGCTGTCTTAAGTTACAAGCTGTGAGGGTTGCCATCAGATGTTTAAGGCCATCTTGCTTGCACTCTAGGTCGCGTCTTTCATTTGGGCTTGAATTCCCTTTCCCTGCATAATTTGCTGGCATCTTTGTCGCAATATCGCTCTTCTGGAACACTTGTTAGGATTTACCTGCCAGTTTTCCTCCATGGCTCAAGCTGGACGTATATTGAAGAATGGGGTCGTTAATTTGTTTGAAATCCATCTCCCCTCTCCAGCCTGCCAAGGTGCATGCTCGCACGTTCCAGAATAACCTGCCAGCGTCAACCTTCAAGGGATGCTATGTGCGCCTGCCTGCCGCTCAGTGTGCAGCTCAAGCCTACCATATGTTGCCCCTTGTTTGCATCTGTCCCATTTTCCCTCCAGCCTGCCAAGGTGTATGCTCAAACAATCCAGAAGAACCTGCCAGCATTGGCCTTCAAGGGTTGCTGTGTGCGCCTGCCGCTCACCAGCGTGCAGCTCAAGCCTACCATATGTTGCCCCTTGTTTGCATCTATCCCTTTTCCCCTCCAGCCTGCCAAGGTGTATGCTCGCACATTCCAGAAGAACCTTCCTGCATCGGCCTTCAAGGGTTGCTGTGTGCGCCTGCCGCTCACCAGCGTGCAGCTCAAGGCCCCCAATGGTGATGTCATCAACCTCAACAAGGGCGACGGCAACAAGCAATTTCTTGAGAAGCGTCGCTGCCTTCTTTTTCACGTGCTCTCTGTGTGATAAGGAGACTCCTAGATGCCATAGTTCATCCTCGCTTCCACGTGCTTGATTTGTGATTATTTTACCGTGCAGGGTACCATCCTTGTCTACATTCTTAGATTAGAGTACGTTAGTGCATGTATTACTATGACAAATGTGCATTGCTACCGAAAGCAATTGGAGTGCCGTTTATACGAGTAGAAAGCTTGTGATTTCAATGTACCTAGTGAAAATGCTCCAGATTTATACGTTACGTCAATACCAAAGCTTCAGGGCAAACAAGTGTAAGGTCAACAAGTCAAATTTCAATTGCAGGAACGAATTCAGGCTCCACTATAACGATGTTTTGGGCCAGGATATCTCGACAAGGAATATCAGTCCCCCGTGGCATCTGTTCTGACCTCCCAGTCAGCGCCTTTATTCCTGCCATAGATTTGTGCAAGCCCAAGCGGTGGCCTGACGTGGCACGGATCACACCAAATCTGGCAGTCTAGATGTCGCTGCCCCAAATCAGCTCTGCTGACTTCAAGTTTACACATGAACCACCCTTTTCTGAAGCTGTCAATCCCTTTCTCTCCCCCAAATCTCCGTTTCCACATCTGCTGCTCAACCATTCCTCCTTTTTTTTTTTCACATCCTGTTGAATCTAGATTTTAGGTTTTCATTTTATGGCGGAGGCTCTCTTTCAGCATCAAGCCTGGCGGTGGATGTCTGTCGGGACTCGCAAGAAGCTGCATGGACACACGTGAAGGTCTTTGTACGACAATTAAGAGCAGCCACACGCTCGCTCACTCACGCTGGAGTCTAGACTGCGAAAAATCTCCCACATCGAGATCCTAGGTTGCTGCCGATATCATATGCTTGCGAGTGACAATGGGCTAGAAATCTCCGCTTGAGCGACGGCTGACGACCCTCCCTTCACCGAGAAGCCCGGTATTTTTTGGGCGGCGATTCGGCGAACAAGCACGGCGGGTTTGCGCACTGCAACTGGTGACGACGACCTTTTGTCTCTCACTCACGCGCGGGAGAAGGTCTCCCCCCCCGTTTCCTTTCTCACTGACGACGGCAGAATCTGGAATACGCAAGATTGCGTCACGTGCTCCCGACTAGTAGATCCTCCCCGCTTCAGCCGATCGAACGAGATAGCGGCATCCGATGTCATAATGACGTACATCGCGATAATGCACCGACCACACTCAGTATCGCGACGGAACGGAAGTGACCTCGCCTCTCCGCCTCACTCCTCATTTCTCGCGATGGATATCTCCGCTCCATCCGAATCTTCTTCCCCCGCATCAGTATCTCCTCCCTCTCCTCGCGCGTCCCCCAGAGAATTTCAGACCCCAGACGGAGTCCCCCTCCGCCGCCCCTCCGCCTGGTCGCGTGTTCCCCGCAACGGCGCGCCGCGGCAGTTTTCCAGAATTCCAGTTGTGCAGCTGCAGCAATGGAAGCTCCGTTGCTGCTTCTTCAGGCGTTCCCCTCCTCCTCCGCGGCAGAGTCTGCCGCGTCACATGAGCACGATGGATAGAGCGTTGGAACCCAGCCCGCATAGGAAGTTCCTGAGGAAGCTTGCGCAAATACACATATTCGATCATTCAGACTCCGCCGCCTGATCCGTACGGCGCAAAGTAATCGCAGTGGTCAGCTGCTTCGAGTTTTTTCTTAAATGAAGGCGTTTTCTCTCTCCGCGAAAGCCGGCTTGTCCACCATCCGCATCTCCGTTGGACTTAGACCCTAGTAACTCCGTGAATTAGCAAGCCCCGGTTTGTTGTCGTTCGGTTACTCTGCGTTCGGCGGGCTTCGTTCCCCTGCGTTCTCCATTCCCGCAGGCTTCGTTCCTCGTTCCCCTGCCGCGTTCGTCGTTTCTTCGTTCCCCGCACATTATCATGAGTCCAACACCATCTATAAGCAAGGACCGCGGCGCGGAATCTCCGCCGCGGCCGCCGGGAGCTGCGCCGACTGTTCCCCTGAAGAGCCCCGCGCGGGGGGGAAAGGAGCTCAAGAAGCGCAACGAGCGCGCGGGGAAGGGCTTCAAGGGCGGCCCGCAGAACGCGCTGTTCACGTTCCGCGGAGTGCGGCAGCGCAGCTGGGGGAAGTGGGTGGCGGAGATCCGCGAGCCGCGCAGCAAGCGCCGCCTGTGGCTGGGGTCGTTTCCGCGCGCGGCGGACGCCGCCATGGCGTATGACGTGGCAGCCAGACGACTGTACGGCTCTGGCGCGAAGCTTAACTTCCACCAGGCAGAGAATGTAATTGGCGTTGGCGGCGATGTTGCTTCCAGCAGCTGCGGGGGCGGCAGCGGCAGTGGCAGCGGTCGTGCCATTAGCCTTGAGGTCGTGGTTGGTGCTGACGCTGACGTTAACGTTAACGTTGGTGTTGACGTTGGCGTTGGAAGTAACTGCAAGTCCGGCGAAAGCTGCGAAGAGACGGTGGTTACCACGAGTGGTGGGGCAGGGGCGAGTGACTCTATGGGTTGTGACAATGACAACAGCCTCAATGATGGCTCGAGCAACAATAACGACCTGAGCACACACGGGTTTAACTTATATGAAGGCGCTGCTGCTCCTGTTTGTGCCCCTGCCCCTTCTCCTGCCCCTGCCTCTGGTTCTGCCCGTGCTGCAGCCGCCACCGCCGCTGCTGCTGCTGGTACTGCTGGCACTGCTGGTGCTACTGGGGTGCAACCAATGATTGATGCTGCTACTCTCGCAGCTATGCTCGATAGCTCACTGATTACCTCGCAATGGCTTCCACACGTGGCTTCGACTGCTGGGACGACTAAAGGCACAGCAGCACGTGTGTCTCACACCTCGTCCCCATGGCTCGAAGCAGACGTGGCACCGATTTTCGAGACAGCTAGAAACTCGTTACTGTGGCCTCAGCACGTGGCATCACCAACAATACCATCGTCTACACCATCATCTACACCATCGTCTTCTACACCATCTATACCATCATCCATATCCTCTTATACACCTATATCCACACCAACATCCATACCATCATCCATACCATCAGCCATACCATCAACCGTGTCACACATGTGGACATGCACACCATCCCAGATGGTCTCTCCCATGCCCATGCCTGACACCAATCCTGCTTCTCTTCTTGCCTCGCATCCCAACGCCTTTGCACTGCCTCAGCCCAGTCCTCCTCCTATCCCTGCTCCTCCTATCCCTGCTCCTCCTATCCCTGCTGCTCCTGTCCCTCCTTCTCTCAGCACTATCCCGTCGTTCCCACCACCTTCCCGCTTCACCTTCCCACAGCCACACCTACGAATTTCGGCACAGAACCAGCGCCAACGGCTCATGCAGACGCTACAGCACCCTCAGGTGTTATCCCAGGTGTTACCCCAGGTGCCACAGCTGCCACAGGCGCTACAGCACCCGCAACTGCTGTCACATGCGCTGCAACAGCCACAGGTGCTCTCCCGTGCTTTACAGCAGCAATTGCAGGCGCTACAGCAGCACTCACAGGCGCTACAGCAACCTCAGTCGCTACAGCAATCACAGGCTCTTCAACACCCTCAGGTGTTTTCACAAGCTCTGCAACAGCCACAGGTGCTCTCCCATACGCTACAGCAGCCAGAGTTTCTATCACCACCGCTACAGCCGCCACAGGCGTCAATGCGTGTGCTACAGCCGTCCACTGAAATGGCTGGACTCACGGGAAGCAGAGCCGGGGCACTCCGGGATCCTCTGCACACTATGCTGCCGGGACAGCCGCTACAGCTGCCACAGCTGCTGCCACGGCCACTCGCACAGGTGATACTACAGCCGCCTCAGTCACAGGCACATGCGCTACAGCCGTCCCCGCTGCTGACAGAGGCGCTACAACTGTCTCGACTGCAGGCACACTCGCTACAACAAGCTCCCGCTTGTTCAGCACAAGAGGCGCTACAGCCACCATTGCTGCCACAGGCGCTACAGCCGTCACCGGAACGTTCCACGCTACAGCCGCCACAGGTGCTACAACTGCCACAGCTGCCGGCACAGGCGCTCACTCCCCATGGGGTTGCCTATATCGCCCGGCCTTCAGGACATGCTGATTGGCCAAGAGATTGCACGCCTACTGAGGAACCCACAAGGGGAAAGCACGGTTGGGCGTCAAGGTAAGGCTGGTATGCTGCTGGGTGGTTCTTCTACTGTCTGGTTTGAAGGGCATTCGGACTTGCTGCTGCCTGGTGACCTAGGTTCAGTCATGCCAGTCAGGCTTGACGGTAGGAGGCAGCAGCAGCAGCAAGGGATGGGGATGCACGAAGGTGCAATCCGGCAGGGGGTGGTTGGGGAGCGTGAAACGTTGCTGAGGGATCAGGAGATGCTTCCAAGGGAGCATGAGAGGAAGGTGACGCAAGAGGTGCTGTTGCTGAAAGAAACCGCAAGTCAAGGGATGAGTTTTCCCGTAGCTCAAAACATGCGGGAAGAGGCAAGCTTACAGGAGATTTTGCAGGAGCATGAGATGAAGGTGATGCAAGAGGTGATGCTGCTGCAGGAAACCCGGCTGCTGTCACTGCAGGCCTCTGCCTCGTTGTTTGAGCCCCCTCATAGGCTGTCCTCTGCCTTGTCCCCAGTTCTGGCCCAAGGCACGCCGGACAGGCCGGACAGGCTCAGGTTCGGCACTCCCGAGCCTGCTAGTGGAGCGCGTAGGAGTGTGGTTCGTGGGAGTTGCTGCAGAGTTGCAGGCAGCAGTAGTGGTAGCAGACTCGATAGCGTCGTTAGCTGCAGCAGCAGCAACAGCAACAGCAACAACAGCAGCAGCAACACCACCACTACCACCACCACCACCACCACCACCACAACCAACGCAAGGGGTATGGATGGCTTAGGCAGCAGAAGCGATGGAAGATGGATTGCCAACAACGTTGATGGTACCGGTGCTGATACCCGTAGGGAGAGTGATGTGAGCAGCAGCAGTGGCACCTTCTCCTCTGCTCAAGGCTTGGGGCCGTCGACCCTGCGAGCAGCAGTAACAAATTCAACCACGGCTGATGCAGCAGCAGAAGCAGCAGCCAAAACAGCACCAGAAGCTGCATTGATGGGAACAGAGGCTTTAAGAGCGTCAACAGCAGCAGCAATGGCAGAAGCAGAAGCAGCAGAAGCAGAGGCAGCTTCAGGGGAGTATGGGGATCCGATGCTGTTGTATCTGGAAGTGTGGAGAGGTACGAGTACTGGTGCTGTTCCATGGGAGCATGATGACGGGTCTGACTGGTGCTAACTTACAGTGTGAGGCTTGAAAATAAGCTGATGAGTGTACACTGTACATGTATGATATTGTGTTTCTAAGGGTTAAACTTGAAAGAAACATGTTATTATGCCGGTCGCAACATCATGGTCTTCTCCCTGTACAGGAGCGTGCTTCGCGTGATTTTCTAAAGGAGCTTGCACTATCCCAACTGGACAGGAGCTTTAATCAACCCCACTCCCTCCCCCCCTGCCGCTCACAAGCCTCGGGTTGGAGAGTTCAACTTTCCTCACCTACCGTACCTTGATCTCCCTTCACTCAGGGGGCTCACTCAATCTCCCCACCGCACTGTTGGTACCCCGCACTGAGTACCATCTTAGCGAGCAAGAAAAGATTTGGGTGGAGGTCAAGTAACATTGTGTGTATGCATATCTGGGAATTAAAAAAAGTATCGAGAACTACTGTAGGGTTGTTTTAGACTTGCAAAGAGCATTTCACATAACTAGAATGATATTAAGTACTCCAAAATAGTACTGGACATAAAGAATGGGAACATCTAAAAGAGCTCCTTGCTAGATCTCCATATCGAACGGGCTGAACCAATCCAATGCTTTTCGCCTACTTCGCCACCTTCGCCACGGGAATGATGTCAGCGGGCGGGGAAAACACTCGAAATATCTAGCGAAAAGGAACGGATCACATCGCGAAGCGAAAAGCATTGGAGGAAAGGGAATCCAACAACTATCCCCTCCCCTCCCACCCCACGTGAAGCCACTTAGGAAGGCCAACAGCTGAGCGCGAACCGTACAGCCAAGGCAGAGAGAGACGTAGGAAGAGAGATAATTCCGTAGCGCCAACTCCGCCCTGCTGTCCGTCTCGAGAGTAGCCGTCCGTACACATGCTGCACCAGAAGCATAGCAGAGCTGGACAGAAACGCGTGTAGACTCGGATGCTGTCTAGGAGACAGACCCATAACCTGTGCTGACGGTGCACGGAGTATATCCCCCAAAGCACGCGGTAGTTTCGTCCGTACAGTAGCAGGTGGTGGTGGTTTGCGAAAGCTCGCCCCATGTCTAGGTGCGGTGCGTTGTCTTGGTGCGACTTCCCAGTTGAAAGCTTTTTTAAGGGTCCCGTGCGTTTTAAAATCTTATGGGTCCAACATAATCCCGCCTGCTTAGCCTGATTGAGATCAGGTCACTAAAAATATAAATATCCGTCATGGGATACCCTTCGCGTCGTACGTGTCACACCGACAGGCCAAGCTGCGACCAATCCGGTTTTCCGATTGAATCAACGTGTCTTCCTTATCGTGTACAGACACACTCTTTCGCTCGCCGGTGCGGTTCGACAAGGCTACGTGGCACATCGCCGGTACTACCACTTCGCGAACCGAGCGACATATGTTACACACATTTGCCACTTTCGCTCGGAAACCACCATCCGCAAATGTCCCGTGACTGACTCAATATTCTTACCAGTACGACCGAGAGCCTCGACTATTCTTAGTACCACTACCTTGCCAACCCTTTGCGAGTAATAATCTCATGGAGCGCCGTGCATCGTCTCTCCTCTGCCTCCTGCTTCTCTGTAAGCCCTGCTATCATGGTTTACCATGTGCGGCTTCAGGCTTTCGTTGCCATCAGAAACAGTCATAGCGATTGACTGTTTACGGATCCCCAGTCGAATATCCCAGAGGCGGTTCCGATGTCGTTAAACATTCGTGCCCCACGTCACAGTGCATTGTTTTTCGAACCCTTTGTGCTGCCTGCCGCCTGCCTGCAGATGCGGCGGTCAGCACTGCGTACGGCGCCGCGTCTGCTATATCGTCGTTCGATCCGCTCTCCTCTCACGACGGCGGCGCCTCTGCTCTCGCTGTCGCTCAGGCCAGGAAAGGATTGAAGGGGAAGACGATACGTAAGTGTCAGTAGAGTAGACTCTACTACAGGCTGCTGCTGGCGGCGGTCTACTTAGCTTACATGATATGTGTGTGTGTGTGTGTGTGTGTGTGTGTGTGTGTGTGTGTGTGTGTGTGCGTGTGTGCGCTTTAGAAATATTCTGCTGCTGGCGGCAGAAAAAATACAACACACACACACACACACACACACACACACACACACACACACACACACACACACACACACACACACACACACACACACACACACACACACACACACACACACACACACACACACACTTTCCCGAGTTTTTTTTCTCATAGTTGTCATCGCCGTGCGCAAAGGAACGCGCGCGAAGGAACGTGCACAACTAATCACTAATACCTGAACTGAATAACCGTTGGCATGCGTCTCGTTAGTGGCTGAAGTGTGTGCTACCGTGTGCTACAGCTGATGTGAGTGCTGCAGTCTACTAATTTGTGCTGCAGGCGGCAGTTGAGTTGTGTGCTGCAGTTGGTGTCATGTTCTGAATGCTAGCTATCATCATCATGATTTACTGTAGAGTTCCGGCGGTTGCTTCTCCAGCTTCCCAATTCACATTCCCGATTTGCCAGTTGAAACTCAGTAGGTACTAACTTTCCCGTTTCCCTGACTTGATCCCGCCCATTTCCGATGTTTCTAGTGAAATATGTGGTCAAGCTATGTCCTACCAAGCGGAACGGGAAAGTAGTTGGGGACGCAGGAGCTTCAGGGAAAATGATGTTGAAGGCGGTCGAGTATGTCCCTGTTCCCCTTGTTAGCTTGACTTATGAGTTGCTGAAAAGGAAAAAGGATGATGAGGGTGGTTGAGTATGTCCCTGTTCCCTTGTTCACTTGTCCCCTCATTCACTTGTTCGCTTGACTGAGGGAAAAAGGATGATGAGGGCGGTCGAGTATGTCCCTCAGACGCGGAAATATAAACCCTGTGACATCATCACATGCAGTTGTAAAAACTGGAGGTAACGCGTTCACGCTCTGTGGGAAGGTTAATGACTAAGGTGAAATAAATGCATACTGTGACCAAGATAGTGACAAGACTCTGAAAGGAGTCTGCAATGCCGATGTGTATGAGGGGTGGGTTGGGCGGGAACTCAAGTTGAGATGATGAAATGAGACTAGGTGGCAGGTCTGTGGACCTGCCGAGGGATAAGGTGGGAATGCCTCCTTATTGCATTCCCCGTTTTCCGAATCTTGTCACAATCATTAAATTTAGAAATATATTTCTAAATTATTCATATTTCAACAGTTCCTGTGGGTGTGATAAATGAAGAGTGGAGATGCATGTGATACATGTGAATACTTAAATCCTAGCAGCAGGAGCCCCACACATGCCGTAACACTCCTCCCCTAGCACAAGCACAGGCCCCCACAAGCCAGAGCACTAGAGTCCCCATGCCGCCCAGCAGCTCATTCTTCCCAAGAGGTTCAGTAAGTACTAGAAGCAGAGGCATAGAGCTACAATATCTGGGCCACCAGGAGTGCATGGTTTCTAACGGCAATGAGACTGGACAGGAGCCCAATTGCCCACAAGAAGGGCCCTATAACAAAGCTGCCGCTAGAGCGACCAGAGTGCTTGGATTACAGGAGTTGACTTTTGTGTCAACTCAAAAGTCATATCGCGACCAGAGTGGTTGGATCACAGTAGTTGACTTTTTTGTCAACTCAAAAGTCAACTCGCGACCAGAGTGGTTGGATTACAGGAGCTGCAGCGCAGGGAGAGCCGTTGAGCAGACAGAGCAGTAGCGGCACACACCCAAAGTAGTAGAGCTATCTTGGTCCCTCGGGTCGCATGGTGCTGAGGAAAATGCCGCTTTTTGAGGCGCCGCAAAAGGCACCCAAGGTACGGTAGTGGAGCTATCTTGGTCCCCAGGATCGCATGGTGCCGAGGGGAATGACGTTTGAGCCAGATTGCATGGCTCCCCTGTGCCCTCCATGGCCCCTGTCCCTGAAACCTGATGGATGGGCGCACGCGGCAAGACAAGAAATCAACCAAGGAA